AACAGTATTCCAAAGGGACCCTCCTAATCTGCTGAAACACATTTGGCATGAGAGCAAATTTCCACATAGTCACAAGCAAGCAGCCTGATACCAGATCAATCCAGTATCCAAACAAGAGACAGAAGCTTTCACTCCTGCCCAAAAGAGAGTGCCTTCTAGCTCAGGAGCATGAGATGAACAGCTATATAAATTTAATTAATTTCTACAGTAAATCTATTTATCAGAAGTTTTTATATCCTTGAAGGCCTGTTTATGCATTTCCAGTTCAGCTTGCCAAGAGACACCAGACATTTGGAGGTGTATAAGGGCCCACAGAGGAGGATCAAAGAAGTATCACAGTGGAAAGACAAAAATAGCTAAAAATTGCTTCCTTCTTTTTTCCATTGTCGGGAATCTCTGGTGGTACACAAGTTGGTTACTGTTCATTAATAGTAAAATTCCAGTAGCGCAAGGATCAAAATGCAGTCCTTTAGGGGGAAGTATTTTATTTATTCCGTTATTTTATTTTTATATCACCACACTCCCCAAAATCCATGCAGTAGAGCAGGAATGTTACCACATTTTCTATTTTGCCACAAAGAAAAAAAAAAGTCCCTTAAAGGGAAATATATGAATATTTTGCTCAGTTTGGGATTAATGGGAAAGAGATCAGGAAAATAATTCCAACATAGCAAAGAAGTGGAGAATGATATAGTTGAAAGAAACAGGCAAAACTGAAAACTGAGCTTTATTGATCTATCTGTAGATGGTAATATGTGTCAGAACATATAGAATCTGGCACCTAATCATGTCCTTTGAAAGAATCTAGAAAATCTGTAGTTTAGTAATATAACACAGAACAACAAGAAAAGGCAATATAGAATTTTGCATATGCCCCCTTCTGTTGTAGGTGGTTTATGGTTGGTGCTCTGCTCTCCTGGTTGGTTGTGTAATTTTTCCATTTTTTTTTTTTTTTTTTAATTGTGAGCTGCCCAGCGTTGTTGTGGATTCAGGAGATCACAAAACTCAATTAAATAAATAAATGGTTTATTTATGGGTTCATGATGGAGTTAAACATCTTCATTAGTGGAACCAAACTGAGCATCTGGTAAAGTTTTTATCTTTGCTTAAGGATTTGGGTACATAGGCCAATAACTTTGGGTACAGGCTACTAGTTGTACCCTAGGTTGGAGGCTGTGAAGAGCAACCGCAAATTATGCTGTAAGCAATGTTAGATCCCTTTTCTAATTGGAAATGGAGCCTGTGACAGAAAGTGGAACAAGCTTTTTGCCTGTCTTGCAGACAAGCTGGGTCAGATTCCACTGTCAGCACTTGGGCTAACAACTGTGTCATGATATCTCGACTGCAGCATGCCACATTCTTGCAAGCTGTAAGCAGTGCACTATGGCTGGTTTTCAGCCCAATTTGTTTTGTGGCTCCCTTCTTTCCTCTTCTAATTTTGAGACTCATATGAATTAGCACTTAGCACAATCCCACTTATGGGATACATAAATGTAGTATTATGCAGGAAATTTCAAAGCTTTTGTTTTTTGGTATGATACATATAAGAGGATATTGCTGGGAGCTCTATTATTTAGAGGAGATTAAAACAGCTGTACATTACACTGAAGTACTCACTATTCCTTTCACAGACAGAGTGACCCAGATTACAAGCGCTACTTTGCCATTTAATTCATTATAACAACCAGAGTTAATAAACTGGGCTATATTCTCTTAGGCAGGGCATGTTGACCTCCACAATATGAGATGGTAACTAATGTTGTAATTCTTTGGTCATTAACTATGTATTCAATAAATATAAATAATATAAATAATTAAAGTCTCTATCTAGCTGTCTAAAGAATTTTCCTCAACCAGTGCAGCGCATGAACATTTTTTCCCACAGAAGGTGGATCATAGGTTTATTAAAAGTAAAGGCAACTGGAAGGCTGCCCTGGTTAATTGCGGCAGTGGGCAACTAGCTGATCATCAGCCCTAAATAAACAAGTTACTGGTTTCATTTGTGTATCATTTCATGAATCTGGAAGATACAAACTTCACTTTGTATATACAAAATTTGCTCTAGAATATAATTCTGAAGTTGAAAAATATAAATAATTTGCTGAAGTGCACAGTCAAGCCAACTATGTCCTGACGATATGTGTAATCTCCCCCCATTTCATAAATGAAAATGTGCAATTAATGCTTATTTGTAAAGGAGTATAGACCTGGCCCTGGGATTGGAAAGGAATGAGTGAATTTTTAAGGATTAATGTTCAGAAAAGATTATTCAGACCTGAGAAAGAAGCAAGCGCAAGAAGTAACTCAAAAGAACCCTAGCTTGATTCTGTTGTGTATAAGATGGGGCAGAGAGAAGCTCTATCAGGCTTTCAAGATTCTGTCATTCTACCCTATTCCTGGAATCCTTGCTGTGCCTGTTTCTTGACCTGGCCTACGCTGAAGGGCTGACAATATTTGAGTGACTAACCAGACTTAATTAATCCTCAAGTCATGTGAATCCATTAAGTTTGCCTGGCTAACTCTATATCCATTTTGTGGCATCTCTGACTTCATATCATAATCAAAATTATTTAGTTATAATCAATACATTCCATTACCTGTTGTATTAATCACTGAGGCCTGAATTCATACATATACAGTAATATGGGAAATGCCAAGCACCTTAAAAATGTGGTCATTTCAGCTCTACAGAAATGTGGTATCTTGCTGAAACTAGTAGTTTTAACTATTTTGAGCTGATTTTGAAATTAGTTGCTGAACAATTAACTTTTAGGGCCATACAGATCAACTGAAAGCAACGGTTGCATACAAAATGGCAGGTTTGTATATACATTCCCATTCTGTACAAGACATGGATAGTTATTTATAAGCTCAACTAATGAAAGATGTTTATTCTACTTTAATTACACTTTAAATTTTGTCAGTTATTTTGGGTACATTAAAGTTGTGTTATCTTAAACTAATGAGCAACTAAATATGCCCACCAAATTAAAATATTTTCCTGTTCAGTGAAAAAAGGCTAACAATATCTGAATATCTAGAGCATAATATCTGAGAATCCTGCCATTACCTACTGTAATTTGCTCTAAATTCAGCACCTCTTTCCAAAAATAGATATTTGAATTTTCTCATTTAAAGAATCCACTCAAGAATATGAAAATGAAAGAAGTAAACAACATTAAATACATAGGGAATAATATGTATAAATATGCAAAAGTGTCTTTTTTAATTGATTACTGACTCAGTTTTCATCATCTGCTAGGAATACAGTCCAGTCAGCATACTAAAATTCAAACACTTTCTCATAAATGCCTTTTTGAAATGTCTATTAAGAAGTAAGTTCCAGTGATGTCCATGGGACTTACTGTTAAATGGGTCAGTACAGCATTTTAGCCTAAACTATCTGAAGTCCAAATAAGCTAATAAAGAAAAATGGCAGAATCACATATGAGAAATAACATGGAAGATACTAATATATATTAGGGGGAAGAGGTAGATGAAATAATGTTTACAACTGAAACATGAATCTTGCAAATCTGTGTATTAACCCCAGAAATGAAACAAATCTTAGCAGTATGATGTGTAACAATTTAAAAAGTTCCTTGGTAAAAGATGAGTCCAAATACGAAAATAAATTTAAAACATTTTCTATGGTCTAGCCATAAAAAAGAAGCCAGCAACTTATCTGGAAAAAAGGCAAACATGAACTTCAAAACTAAATTTAAAGACAGATGGCTGTGTAAAATCTGAGACATTATCACTGTTGTGAAGTTTAAGACACCTATACAGAACAGATTTAACTATGTGCTTGTCATATAAACTAAGCCAAGAAAGAGATGTAGAATCTGTCTTAGATCTACTCCCATGTATAGTTTATTCTACCCTTACTTATAAAGTTGCCACATCATTTCTTCAACCGCAAAATGTAAAAATTCTGAATTACTTCTACCTTGCCATTAAAATATATGGGCCTGAGCTTGTGCTCAGAATTGGATCCAAAGACATCAGAAAAGTCTATTCTTAATGGTTTCCAGTTGCGTTGGACTCCAACTCCATCATAGTCATCTCTGTTGGCTGTGGTTTATTTGGATCTGTAATCCGACACTTCTGAAGCATGCCAAGACTGATGTTCTACCCGTGGCCATTTGTAACAAACAATGTTTTAAAGATACCATAAACCAGTGTAGTATGTAAGCCAATATAGGAGGAAAACATAGGGTTTTTTTTCCTTCTTCATCCAGAGGTTCACAACTGAACCACAAACTATCCAACAAAACACAAAGGAGTTGCATGAAGGGAAACAACCAAAGAGTTAATTTAACACATAATTGCTTTTGGTTAAATTCTATTTAAGTTACTGAAAATATAGCATAGAAACTGCAACTTAGATTATTAATAGAACCTACTTACCCAAAGTACAAAAACATGCTCTGGTGGTTGTTTATCCGCACTTATCAAAAGCTTCATAACCTTGACCTCACTTAAGGACATTCTGAATTTTTGGAAGCTTATCAATAGACTCATGCTGCCATTTTAAAACAGTTCTCATTGGTACATGAGAAGCCTATCCCCCAAACTGGAGAATGAGAAATCCCCATAGGCAATAACTGTTCTTCATTTGCATTCCTTCCCAAATCCAGTCAGCCTTGGCCAAACAGCAGATCTCTTCAAAGCATTAAACACAGATTGTAGAATGAAGCAAAGATACTAGATGAATTCCTGCACTGTTAAAGAAGATTCTATCTGACTATCAGCATGTCATTTATTCCCTTGTGCACAAATCTCAATCAGAAATTTGTCTAATGAATTACCAGTAAAAATATGTGTATATCTCAATATAATCTTTCATAAGTCCAATGAGTATGAATATATTCAAACACAATACACAAAAATCAGTAGTAGTTCTATAAATGGGCATCAAATATAGATTCACCTTAACTTTTAATTCTTCATATGATTGAAAGATAGAAATTAAACATATATGTTTAATCAGTACTTACCTTCCTGTTCAGTTCTCGTCATCTCCTCTAGTTTCTTCTGTTTCAAGGTGTCCACCACATCGGCAAGACTTCCTTTGCGGCGTTCTGGAGTTCCAAAATTAACACTGGTCATTAGCTCGCTGCGATCACGACCACCTTCTTCAGGCTTATGTGGTGAGGTAGAAGTATTTCGGAAGGAATATAAGGAACATAACTTATTACTTTCTGACTCCTGTAAAGAAAGAAGACAATAATATAAGATTAAAAACATTTTCTTGTTATCAAGAACTTCTGGTATAATACAAAAGCAACTGGATGTTTTGAAATACTATGCTGAGCTAAATCAATTTTTAGTTTCAGTTTCATTTTTGCTGTTGATAAAAAGGACTTTAATTCCTCACTATGCTTTTGACTGGCCCCTCAAGAATTCATCTATTTATCATCTGAGTCTTAGCCAGGAAAAGAAAGAGTGCAAAGGCTTCAACAACTATTTATTAAGATTCAAGGAAACTGGGAAGTCCTTGAAATAGAGAATTTTCATGGCCCAGAACAAAGATATTATGTACCTCGAATGACCAGCTGTTTAACTGAGCTTAAGACGTAGGTAGAATTGCACCATGTCCTCTCTATCAGCTCTTCCACTGCCTGCTTGACTGATGATGCCCCCCAACAAATACACAGAAACCCAATCTTCAGTATAGTTTACAGTTGCATGGGTCAGAGGCATGGGATGAAGGAAACATTAATAATAATTCTGCTTAAGCCTTCTCTCAGTCAGAAGCTCAGAATCTTCAGAATTTCTCAAGCTTTGTCTGTTAGCTACTGTACCTCAGCTATGGTTTCATTCTCTAGAGCCTTAAAAATCACTATTTGGAAGCTTTTGCATAACTCCAACTATGATGGTGTTATACCACAAGGGGCAAAGAAACACTTTTGTGTGATGTGCTTAGCTGATCCCATGAGAGGCCATCCAGCACTGAATGTGCAAAGGTAAATAAGTGAATTGATACTTAAGAAAATTCAACTCAAGTCTATGACATATTTCAGTAAGGTCATTCCATCAACATGTTAACTCATTATATGTTCTAGAACTCAATGTGTACATGAATTTCTGTAGGAGTTAGTTACTAAAAGTTTTCCAATTAATTGTTTTCACAATGCTAAATAATTTTTATCTTTTCATGAACACTTCTTCATAGTTAAATTACATAGAATGAATATCTGCCAATTCATTTCCTTAATTACAAAGTATCTTTTTAAAGTCTATTTCAAAGAACAGTTTTGGGACAAATTAGGAAAAACAACTTTTGGACAGAAGATAGAACAGAAGTTTGTTCTGAAACTTGTTTATCCAAATAGGACTTCAACACATTGTGGTCAACACTGTTAAATAAAACAATGACAAACAGGTTGTAAAAGCAAGATACATTTCTGCCTCATTGTTATTGGAACTTATTTATCAGTAATAGGGCTTCATCATCGCTAGTGGCAGGTAGGACATCCTTCAAAGTCTGATGTAGGACAGGCACCATTTTTCTTATATACTTAAGACACCAACGGGAATGAAAACTTTCTGACTATAAATTTCGTAAAAACTAAAAATAAGGTGGTTTTTTTTTTCAAAACATATCACACTTTTTTGGACATTAAGAACAAAATAAAGAATTAATATAGAATATAAGTACTCAGGGCTCAATTTTTCATAAAACTTATATGGACCTTGAAAGATAAATAGGCACCTGAAATTGGAGTTAGTTATTTCTATTTCAGCCTAGCTGATCATAGTACTCCCCAAGTCTCCAAGTATTTAAAAATTAAACCTGATTCAATATTATCCCTATGTTATCCCCCAACTAAAATGATAAATAAATTTGTGCAGTTAATGGTTTCATTGGGGTTAGGGCTTGGCAAGAAATAATTATACTGCTTAGGTTTAACTATTTCATTTTAATCTATATGTTGCAGGGATTTTCAAATTTTACAGTACCACAATTGCCCACTGAGGGCTTGCAAAGGCAAAGAGGAAAACAAAGCTTGGAGCTAGTTTTGATGTTGCATGTCTTGCACAGACAAAGCAAAAGCTCTGTTAAAACTCATCCCCACTTTGTAAAAGACCCTTTTTAACAGTACTCACACTTTGCCTAGAAGACAGATCATGTTTAAAACAAGTCTTGCAACTCTCCCCTAAACTGCTTGTGACACTTCCTTGATTTTTCACCCACAGTTTGAGAACATATACCAAAATGGGTTAAGATTACTGTAGAGAGTAAGGAAAATGACCTTGATGGAGATATGAAGGAACATCACCTAAGCAAAAGGGGCTAAAACATTTTTTAAGTCCAGAACAACAAGATAACATTCAGAAGCAGCTCAAGGAGATGCTTCCCTAATTCACTGAACTATAAGAAGGAGGGGAACACAATCAGACTTGCAACATTCTGTTCTTATAGCCAATCTCAATAAAAGTAGTTTAGCCTTCCTGTGGAGTTGATTTCCTGGTCTGGTCTGTGTAGTGCGTCTGACAATTACTAAGACAGTTATGAAAGAGGTTTAGACATTTTTTTTTTATGCTGCTTTCAGGGAATATTTGTGTAGAATATACAGCCACATTTAGAAATTGATGTAGGATTTATGGAAATCAATGAATGAGCCCAGACTTAATTTTTTGCTAAATATTTACCTTTTCCTTCATCAAGATCTAGTTTTATATATGCTGAATTATGAGACTCATATTTCAATAGATGGGTTCTTTATAATTTATGGAATTCTTTCTAGTTCAATAAAATCACACTACTGATTCATAGATTATTTCATACTGAAAGATAAAATCTATATTCCCATGGTTAATGGAATTCTATCCAATCCAATTCTAACCAGATTCACTGTTTTTCATTCAGAAAAGTATAAATATTTATATATTAGTGTTCTAGCTCCTTTAATACTACTATAGTTGTATCTTCATTAATACATTAAAGTAGATTTTAAAAATTTCAACATAGTTCATATCTCTCTAATGCTCTCTAACTTTTATATTGCAATTTACATAATTTCTTAGCTTTTGACTATGAGGGTTCAAAGCACTCTGTACTTGAACCAATATCTGACCAAGGAAAAGGCTAACTTAAAATAGCTGTGCAACAACTTAACTGATTATGTTAGCAAAACTCAGTACACTATGGTTCTATTTGTTTTCTCTGATTCACCAAAGCAGATAACAGAATCATAAAGATTGTTTCATTATAGAGTTATTTCCTAACCATGGGTGGAGATATAATTTCAATTAAATGTTCAGGATACTGAAGTTTTATGACAGTCAACAGACAAAAAATAAAAGCTTTCTTGAACAACTGGCCAATTATATCAGGACAAAATCATTTCTTCATTTTGTTCTGATAATATATGGCAGATCCATACTTCCTACTTGCCCCAGTGGAAGCACAAACCACCCATAATTTCTGGAGGGCAGGAAGATATAATGCCATCCTCAATCCACTAACCTTCAGCTAAGGCAACCGCCACCTGCTTTTTCCTACATTGCCTCTGTCACTTTCTGACAGAGGGAGGGATGATAACTACAGGTAAATGCCTCTACTCCAACTGCCTCCTCCCTTCCCATCCCAGTCTCTGTCCTCCACCATCATTTTACTTTGGCCTGCTGAACTGAATATCCCACACAGAAGGAAACTTCCTAGGGTTTAATACACTGAATTGCTGCCCCATTTAATTCCCCAAAGGGAACTAGTACACATAACCAGGTAGACCTTAAACTACAGCCTCTTATTCATGCTGGTGATTACGCGGTGCCAAAATAGCCCTCGGCTTTTGTTTATTACCATTTTTAAATGCTGTGTACAGAATTAAAGCAGCAAAATGCACACAGAGGAACTAGATTTAAAATAAACTTCCTTTCTTGCTAATCTCTACAATAGGTATTCCTATAATAGTAGGATTCCTATCATCACATTTGCCTCACAAGAGAAGGGTTACCAGTTCAAAACCAAGTAGAAACAACCTTTTTTAAAATTGTTGTTTTTCTTTCCATTGAGCTTTTCCACTGGGCTTTTTAAATAAAAAATAAAAAATGTGTCCACCAGTGGACCACTGAAATGCTGGAGCTTATTTATTTACTTACTTACTTAGTTGTCCAGCCCTAGGTAAATCCATTTGGTTCAGGAGCTGGGGTGAAACCCTCCTACCTCAAGTGACAGCAAGAATGGTGAAATGGTCCACTGGCAAACTGGTTAAAAAAAAAAAAGCAGTAAAGTGGGTAGCTCAGTGAAAGAAAAATGGTGCTATAAAAAAATTGTTTCTGCCCCATTTCAAACTCTTAGTAAGACAAACATGATAAGCACTAAGCTGCAGTAGCTGCAGCAGAAACTGGGGATCCAAACCTGAGAAAGTAACTTGATTAAAAATAAATTTGCCTAAGTGATAGCATCTGCCCATCATGCAGACCAGTGTCTCTCAACCTTGACAACTTTAAAATGTGTGGACTTCAACTCCCAGGAATTCTGGGAGTTGAAGTCCACACATCTTAAAGTTCCCAAGGTTGAGAAGCACTGATGAAGGAACTAGAAGGAACTAAAGATTACAATTAAAGGAGAAAAATAAACAGAAGAAAGCCATGGAAGATTTCAATACATGATTACTGCAGTGAGATTACTATATGGAGGAATGGTTGGTGAAGATGACAGATTTTGCTGAAATAGATAAACTGATTTCTTTGATTAGAGAGAAGACATTATCTACATTTATTGGTGACTGGAAGCATCTTATGGCCTTTTTGTGTAAAAGTGAAAAAATTAACTGGTGATTTATGGTTTTGATGATTAGATAGGACAGATTATAGAAAGAAGAGTAATATGATATAACTTTAGAGAGAGAGAGGTTAAAATATATTTGTACTGATAACTGCTGTGAAGAATATCAGAAGCCACTTCTTTAGATCTTTTTCTTTCTTTTCTATTTTTCTTCAACTTTTTTTCTTTTCTTGCACTTTTTGCCTTTTCTTTGGTTTCTTCCTTTTTATTTTTTCTTCCTTACTTAGTTTGTATTAGTTTTTAACTTTTTATTTAAAACTTTTAATAAAATTAATAAAAATTATAGACAAAAAAAATTAAAGGAGAACACTTAAATTTAACTTACTAATACTGAATGGAGCAAAATATATTAACGTTGGACGTACTAAAGGATATTTTTGAACAATGGACCCAGAAATCAATTTTGTCTGCT